AGTCAAGATATGGCGATTCTTTCTTTTAGAACGGCCATTCTGTTGAGGAGTTTTAACATTAGCCATTTGATGCTCAATTTCAAATTCTGTATATAGTCATTGTACCTCCCCATAAGTGTACTCCGTACCCTGGTCATATCTGAATTTTTTAATGGTACGACCATATTGAATCTGAACCATTGTTATAAAAAATTTAAAAATGGTGTACACCTCATTTTAAAATTTCATAAGATAAACCCATGTAACACGATTATGATCATCAATGAACAACACGAAATATCGAAATCCAAGACTAGAAGTAACTGGGCAAGGACCCCACGCATCTGAACGAACAAGATCAAAAGGTGTTAAAACAAATTTATTACTACTAGCAGGATAATTGGAACGAACATGTTTAGCCATATGACATGTCTCACAGGATAAATCTGACATTGCCACGTTACAAAATAAGGAAGGAAATAAATGTTTTAAATAACCGAAAGAAATATGTCCTAAACGTATGTGCCAACGCATAAGCTGTGCTTTATTAGATGAAGCATAATTAGAAAATAAAGCTGAATGTGATTGAGGTGACAAAGGAGCATCCAATAGGTATAGACTGTCCACTTCACGCCCACTGCCAATCGTTTGTTCGACACCAGATCCTGAAAATTACAATAAGAGAGAAAGAACGTTACACTACAATTTAATTGTTTGGTAACGCTACTAATTGAAATAAGATTTATAGTCAACTGTGGAACATGAAGTGTACCTGACAAAGTTAATGAAAGAGTAACTGATATGTGACCCTTCCTAGCAATGGAAGATGGACAGCCATCCGCAAGGCGTACCTTGCGATGGCCAGAGCAAATACTATAAGATTGGAAGAATGAGGACTTATCAGTCATATTGTCTGAAACACTAGAATCAATGATCCATGATGTCAAAGATGTAGATACGCTACGTGCAGACGCAATAGTACCTGAGTGGGCGTAAGTGGAGGTTGGCTGAGATGATGCCTCCATTTGGTTGAAGAATTGTTAGAACTTGTCCAAATCAGCTTGAGTCAAGGTAATTGTGGCAGAAGATGTAGAGGCAGAGTTGTCAGGAGTTGACAACGAGACTGGTTGTGTAACAGAATGTGCAGAGGATCGAGGTGGTTGTTTCTGTTACGGTGGGCGTCCATGTAGAACATAACAACGAGATTTGATGTGACCAATTTTTCCGCAATGGTCACACCGTCCACGTTGTCGTCCCAGAGGAGGACCGATGGTAGGACTCTGAACTGACTGGGATGGTGCAGTTCCTGAAAGGTTGGGAACCCGAACTTCCATAGCAGAACGATCAACAGAAGCAACACCTAATGAAGATAAGCCCAGTAAATGAACATGAGCATACTCAAACTCGTTGTTTAATCCTGCAAGAAACTGAAATACTCGATTCTTCTCCACAATCCATGGATATAAAAAAGCATCTCTTCTCATATTAGATTTAAAGTCTATGATGGTAGATGTGTTCGTTTTTGGGAAGATCTTTGGTGTGGTGATCAACCATTATCTTATACTTTTCCTAAACTATTTAGTATTGCAGTTGATAGGCATGCTTACGTAACTGATTGTTATCGACTTGATAGCAGTGGGATTACGTGGAATGTGCACTTTCGACCTTCCTTTCAGGATTGGGAGTTGAATGAGGTTTGTGTCTTCCTGGATCAGTTGTATCGGCAGGAAGGAGTAGGCAGAGGAAGTGACGATCTGATATGGATTCCCTCTTCCCATGGTCGCTTTGAAGTGCGATCTTTATGCCCATGCTTATCTAATTTTGATCGCCTGGACTTTCTGTGGAAGACCATTTGGCGCTCTATGGCTCCAACTCGGGTGGCATTTTTTTTATGGACCATTGTTTGGGGTAAGATTTTGACGATTGATAATTTGAGGAAAAGGGGAAATTGTCTTGTCAATTGGTGTTGCCTATGCAAGCAAGATGGTGAGTCAATTGATCACATCCTTATGCATTGTCCCGTAGCGCATGACTGTTGGACTCTTATTCTTGGAATGTTTTGCATGCGTTGGGTAATGCCACGTTCTTCTAAGGAGTTGATTCATGCTTGGAGAGGATGTCGTGTGCGGAGAGATGTACGTGATTACTGGAGAGTCGTTCCACATTGCGTGTGGTGGTGCATCTGGAAGGAGAGAAATAACAGAATGTTCGAAGGGAAGGAAGGGAAGGAGTCGTCCACGGCGAGGCTGAAACTTTTTATTATTCGCTCTCTTTTTAATTATGTCAAGAGGAGTTCTTGCTTCTCTTCCGATGATTTAATTACTTTCTTGGATTCTTTGAGGCCTTAGCCTCGATTCCAATCTTGTAATTGGGATGCGTTCCCTTTTTGAACGCCTTTTTATTTAATTTTTACTTGTCAAAAAAATAAATAAATAAATAAAACTGCGTCATTTGGATCCTTCCAAGAGTGAAAGGATTCATTATATGACATCTCCCAAATAACACGAAGCTTGGCGATGTAACCTGAAACTGTCAAGTCACCCTGAGAAATCCTGGTGATATCTCGCCTCTACTGGAAAATCCGTGCATTATTCTGCCTCAGAGAATAAGTGCGTTGAATTGAATCCCAAATCTGCTTAGCAGCCTTCATAAACATATAGCCAACAATTATGTTTGGTTGCATCGAATTGACTAGCCAAGACATAACCATAGCGTTATCTGCAAGCCATTGTGGATATACCTTTTTTGACTCAGCTGGCTCTTTCTCAGAACCAATAACATAGCCAATCTTGCCTTTGCCACCAATGAACATCATGGCAGACTGAGCCCAAATCAAATAGTTGGAACTATCCAACTTCACTGTGGTGATCTTGGATTTTCTGATGAGTTAGTGGAAAAAAGGGCACCACTACCCACAAAACTTGAGCCAAGAGAATTAACAATCGAGGACCCTAAATCTGTCATAATCTATCACACGATAATAAAAAAAACTCCAAAAACACCACAAATTCTGTTAATAAATTAAAGGGCCTCCTTAGAACATAAACAATAACAATGTCTTCCCAGACCATTCTTGAAAAATCCAAATACATACTTTTTTTAAAAAGCGTTGCCCGCTTACATATAGCCAGACAGCCTCCTCCTTAATATCCGGAACCTCTTTGTAGACTAAATTTTTTTTTACCCAAGCCCTTCTAGGTGTTGGAGACCAACTATCCCAATTTACCCAACCCTTGAAGAGTAAAAAAGAAATTGTAAAACCTGTTTTCGATCACAAAACAACAACACAGAAAAACATGTGTAGGCAACGTCACACGATAGCCAGGCTGCTGAAAAGTGTGGAAAGGTGTTGGCTCTGATACCAAGTAGAAATATAAAAAAGAAGAAAAAGGAGAGAATTGTGTAAAGGCTTGAATAAGATGAATAACTCATTCACAGCTTTAGTATTTATGGATAAAAAGAGCATATGCTCATTTTACAAGAAAGAAAACTAAATCAAATTACAGCATATTCTATGGCATATTCTATAGCATAATCAAATCTATGTTAATATGGTAAGTCATTCCATAAATCGTGGCTATCATATATGCTAACATATGCATAATCAAATCTCTGCTATTATGGTAAGTCATTCCATAAATCGTGGCTATCATATATGCTAACAGGAGTAGATCCTCTACATATAACAATCAAATATTGGGGTCATTTGTAGCTACAAGATTTGGTCTGTCTTGTTACTAATTTCGCCACCCTCTCTTGCTCCCCATCTTTATTTGCTTCCATTTTCCTCTGTATTTTTATTCCCATTGATTTATCTTACAAGGAAAAGGGAACCCCCCAGATGTAAGTACTTGTACTATTTACTCTATGTAAAGGTGTTTTGTGCCTGTATATAGCCATTGCGTGTGGAAGCCCTCATAACCCTTGAATGTTTGTTTGTACTTGAACTTCCTCACAATATTAGAAATTCCTATAATATAACCATCATATTTCCTCTTATTAAAGTTCAATGTTTAAGAGATTTGCCCAAACTGTTCCTTCTCAAATCCCTAATTCTGCACATTCTTTGGACAATTCTGAAAGTGATTTCTAAAATTACTCCTCATTTAAGATTGGATGAGTTTGATGGGGAAGAAGGTACAACATCAAATGCCTAATTTGTGACTAAAAGAAAAAGTGTTGTAGCACTATACTTGTATATTGGTTAAGTGTTGTATATGTGACTGATTAAATGAGGGGGTGTTGATGCCTCCCGCATTGTTGGCAATAGTAACAATGCAACCAGTATACCAAATATATTGCATAAATGGTTTGAAATATATTAATCAGACTAAAAGCAGAATCGTTCTTAACTGGTTCCCCATTGAAACTGTACATCCATTGGACTATTCCATTTATGTTGCCTCAAGTAATCAGTAGCCAAGATAATGAAAGAATGCCCCTTGGAAGAAGGCGGTGTGATTTTCCCAATTAAGTCCATAGCCCAGTTGTAGCTCTTTCTCTCTTTCTTGTCGGTAAGTGGTGGGCGGCAAAACGATCATAATATGTTTGTTGAAGAAGTCTATAACTGCTTGTGTGATAAGCATAATATGTTTGACATGGGCACTCTGTTCATTTTGATACTATTGATGGACAAGGACCATTAAGAAGGTTTTGTTGGGATTTCTTATTGAAGTTGGAATATATTCGTTGCTTTTGACACCCCTATTGAATGTGTGTATCCTGTAGTTGTGTTTACCTAGATTAGTTCTTTGGCATATCTGAGATGGTTTTACACTTATATCAGTGTTAGGTATGCAGTTAACACCCATTGCGATTGAGTTAACATTTGCCCCACAGCGGCATGAACACAACACAATATTGACTAAAAAATTGAAAGAATGAGTGAGAATAATGATGCCAAAAGTAGATCCTTTTTTTTTCTCTTATTTGTGTTTGTGTAGATATGAAAAATTAATGATATTGGATTTCTTATTCTGTATTTTCTTCGAATGAAAGGTTGTATGTGCGTTTGTTTGCAGGGGTCCAACATATGGTTATAGAGGCAAAGTAGTTCTTGCGTTTGAAAAAAATCGATCTTCCAAAATTGGGGTCAGATTTGATAAATCTATTCCTGAAGGAAATGACCTTGGGGGTCTTTGTGAAGAAGATCACGGTTTCTTTTGTGCTGGTGATTTCCTGACGTATCTCTTCTTTTTTCTGTTGATCTATGTTTGTGCCCTTGGTTTGTGGCAATAAACTGTTTTTTATTTTATTTTATTTTTTTATTTTAAACTAACTTTTAGAGTGATGACAATCTTCTTCTTGTTTTTTTGTCCTGATGCAGCTGACTTACTTCGCCTGGATAGTTCCACTAGTGACGATGTTTACAAGCCTGCTATTAGCGAACTTTTTGAGGTCAATGTTGGTCTATTGCAATACGAATGAATACACCATTTCCCCTTCTTTATATGTTACACATTGAAGGGACTTATTCATATTTAAATTTTTGTGATGCGATCTGTTGAAGGATTTAAATATTAAAATTACACCCTCTCTAACAGTTTAGGCTTTTAGAGTAGATGGTAATTAACATGGTATCGGAGCCAAATGTCTCGAGTTCAAACCTTACCGCCACTCTAATTAAAATTGAAAAACACGTGTTGGACAAAAAGAAGGTCACACGTGAGGGGGCGTGTTGAAGGATTTAAATATTATAGTTGCACCCTCTCTAACAGCATAAGCTTTTAGAGTAGATGGTAGTAAACACGATCTAAGATTCTCACCTTTTATAGGTTGCTTCAAATGAAAGTAAAAGCACTCCATTGATTTTATTTGTGAAAGACTTGGAGAAGTCTTTAGTGGGGAATTCAGAAGCATATGCAGCTTTCAAGAGCAAGCTTGAGAATTTAATGGGGAATGTAGTTGTCATTGCCTCCCATACCCAGACGGACAACCGTAAGGAGAAGGTATGTTGTTAATTTTATTGCATCTAGTTCATTTGTAATATTATTTTACATATTAACTAAATATGATATTTACATGCTTTCCAGTCTCATCCCGGTGGTTTTTTGTTTAAGAAGCTTGGGAGCAATCAAACGGCATTGTTTGACCTTGCATTTACGGTATGTTGAACGTAGTTTGTGCAGTTCATCTCCAAGTATGTGTGTGTGTGCACGCACTTTCTCTCACATGCACAGTGTGGACTTAGCTTATGTGGGCTTAATTGTTTTTTAGCTCTTGTATGGGCTTAATTATTCATCAGATCTTTTCACTTGTTTTATGCACTTTAAAATCGAGGTTTAATTGTTATCTTTTAAGGATGATTATGCAATTGTATCATCTAGTTAACAGCCTTACCACCTTGCGTGTCATTAATTCTTGATTTTAAAATGCATCATTCTTCCTTTCCATATGGTAAGAACTATGGGGGCTAAATTCTGTTTTCTATGTAAAATTTGATTCACTTCCTGAAGTATTCGAGTGATGCAACTGAATTGTTATTCAGGATAACTTAGGTAAACTGCATGATAGAGGCAAAGAAACCCCCAAAGCAATAAAGCAACTCACCCGTCTTTTCCCAAATAAAGTGACTATACAGATGCCTCAGGTACTGAGTTTACATACAGTGTATATTCCATATAGTTTTGCATAACTTTTTGTGGAAGGCACTTAATATCTCTTTGAAATGTGTCAGGAGGAAACTCTACTTTTGGACTGGAAACAACAGTTGGATCATGATATTGAGACACTAAAATCACAGTCAAACATTGTTAGCCTTCGCTCAGTGAGTAGTAAACATTTTGTGTCTGGCAGTTGTTTCTGCTTTTTAAAAAATTTCTTCTTGTATTGGTCATTCTTTTCTGTGCTGGGGTTCTGTAGTTCAATATTTATCATGCTTTGTTTTTTATGTCATTGACATGTGGTGTCAGCTTTTGTAGAAATAAATAAAGAAACAGGTCCCTTTATTTAAATATACAATTGATGGAAGATTGCAGAAGTGAATAAAAAGAATTACATTAGGTTTGTGTAGATTTAGTGAAGGCATATGATAAGAGAGTACCAAGGAATATAATTTTGTGACCTCTATGAAGAAAATGGGTCTCTTTAGAAGTTGTAAAAATTATTTAAGATATGTATAATGAGAAGAAAACTAGAGTTCATACCATATATAGAGAAACTACTGATTTTTCTACACTAGTAAGATTACACCAAGGATCCGTACTAAACCCATATCTATTTATAATAGTTTTAAATGAAATAACAAAAGATATTCGTTAAAATATTCCAATGGTGCATGTTTATTGATGACTTAATGCTATTGGATACTTTTAAAGAAGCTTTGAGAAGAGAATTGGAAATATGGAGAAAAGCATTAGAAGAAAAAGGTGTAAGGATTATTTAGGAAAAAAAAAAGATATAAGGATTAGTCAGACTAAAGCATAATATATGGAATGGAATGTAAATTTATTAAAGTCTTAAAAAATGACAACATAATAATAACAATTCAAGATCAAAGGATCATTTACATTAAACATATTTGATATGTAGCTTCCATAATACAAAAAGATGGGGAGGTTGATGATGGTGTCACTAGTAGGATTGGAGCAAGATGAACAAAATGGAGACGAGCAAGTGATATTTTATGTGATAAAAAAATTCCAAATAAATTAAAAGGTAAATTCTATAGGACGGTTGTTAGGCGAGCGGATTCTATATGGGAGAAGAGTGTTGGGTGCTAAAAAAGAAACAAGGACAACACATTTGTGCAGCGGAATGGAGGACGTTGTGATGGTAAGACTGATTAGAAGAGATATGATTAACAATCAAATTGTGAGCGAAAACTTAGAGTTAGCTTGAGTTGGTGAAAAGAAAAAGAAAAAGAAAAACAGACTTAGGTGGTTTGAACACATAGCGTAGATACATCAATGAGAAAAGGAAGTTTGGTTTGTAGAAAAGGTAAGAGATTGGGTGGCCTCCCAAAACTGACTTGGGATGCAGTACTTAGAAATGACTTTAAAAAATCAAGAGGTGATTTGTCTTGTAATAGAGTAGAATGGAAAAAGAAAATTCGTACAGGATAGAGGCAAGGGTGATGACTAAATAAAGAAGGGGGAGAAAAACATAACTGTAGTATCTTGACAGACTTTTGAATGCCAGTTATAATGCTTTATCTGGTGGGATGAGTAGTTCCTGCTCTGTACGCTAGTTTTATGCATAATTTTTACTTCTTTTATTTGTGTAAAAAATGAGGTATATTAACCAGTCAAGTTGAGGTTGCATTGCAGTCTTTTTGCCATAGCCTCTTAAAGATGGAATAGTGTATTTTGCTTACATTGTTTGGTACTAAACCTTCGGGGTAGATGTGCAATGCACGTCTATATAGTTGTTATAATATTTTAGACAACTATTTTAACATAGAAAGAAAGGATGTTGGTTTCCTTGAAGTTCGAATTCAAGGTGGTGGTTTGGCACAAACTTTGAGATGATTGCATTACTGCCTTGTATTTTCTTTATTGGTCCGTTTGGTAGGTAGGAAGGTAGAGGGGTGGAGGGAAGATAGGAAGGAAGAAACAAACTTCCTTTATTTGGTAGAGATGAGACAAGGAGGGAAGGGAAAAGAGGATGGATGAGTCATCCTTATTCACAAATTTTTATCCCTCTAAATATGGACAGAAGAGAGGAATGAAGAGACGCAAGACTGGTATAAAATTATTAAATTTAAAACACCATCCTTCATGATTATTAGATAAACCCAATATAAGTAAATCTCTCTTCCCTTCTCTCCTACCAAACAAAGGAAGGTGTTACCTCATTCCCTTATGTTCCATCCAACCAAACAAAAAGAGGGAAGGACACTCTCCTTTCTCTAGGGATGTGTCACCCGTACCATCCTCTCCCTCCCATCCAATTATCTTCATACCTACCAAACGGAGCATAACAGAATTTCACTGGGCTTATTTGTGATCATCAAGGTCGTGTCAAAAGAAGTGTTGGCTTGGTGACAGTAGTTAGGGCTGTAAATGAACCAATCTTTCAACAAACATTTCAAGCTCGGCTCGATTCGTGGTCGTTTGCTTAATAAACGAACCAATCTCAAAGAGGATTTTCAAGCTCGTTTAATAAATGAGCCGAACTCAAACAGCCCCCTACTCGGCTTGTTTGTTTGTGAACATGTGTGTGAACAGAGCTCGTGAACATGTTTGCTAACATAAATAATTATACATATACATATTAATATATATATTTCATATACATATTAATTTATTAATAATAGTGAGAACCTATACATTAATTTATACCCAACCCATTTAGTTTATATACAAGGCCCATTTAAGTGAAATAAAATTAATCTTAACTCTTAGCCCAACTAAGGCCCATAAACAAATAAAACCCCTGAGCCCACAAATATATAACCCCAACCCTTTCAACTTTATTTTCTTTCACATTGCCGCACACAGCATCTGAAAGCGTCTCTCTCCCTTCATCTACAGCGCCTCTGTCTTCATCGACTGCCATCCAATGCCTATTTTACCTTCTACCAGCACCGCAAGCATATAGCTAATTTTTTATAAAAAAAAATTATGTAATAATTTCTTTTTTCTTTAATACATCTATGTAATATATATATATGTATATATAAGATTATTGTTGTATTTCTCTCTTGGATTTCTCTCTTAACTTGTATTCCTCTCTGAACTTGTACTCCAATATATGTGTATATATAATATGTATGTGCTATAGGAAGTGGTGATACACTGATGCGATGTGATAATTAGGCTCGAGCTTGGCTCGATTGGTCGTGAACTTCTTCAAGCCAAGCTTGGACGCTAGGGTATGAGCTCGAGCCGAGCTCAAACAGCCCACTATTCGGCTCAGCTCGGCTCATTTACAACCCTAACAGTAGGATATGCGCTTATAAATTGAACAGATTGGCTGTCTGATGTTAACTTCATGCTCTCAATTATTTACGTCAAACGCCATGATTTCAGGTTTTAAACCGAAACGGACTGGACTGCCTCAACCTTGAAACAGTATGCATTAAAGATCAAGCCCTGACGAGTGAAAGTATTACATTGATCTATAAAATGTTGTTTTTCACTTTGATATTCTGACCTAGATTGTGTTATTCAGTGATGTATTTTTCTTCATTTTAATAGTTGCGGAGAAAATTATTGGATGGGCTTTGAGTCATCACTTTATGCATTGTTCTGAAGCTTCAGCTAAAGATCCCAAACATGTTATTTCCGGTGAAAGGTGGGTACATTTTTTTCTAGTTGTGCCAATGTGTTGGAAGAAGGAAGAAAACAAAGAATATGTAGATTTGATGTTCCTCTTAACATTCTGATGTTAATGTTACTCTACGTGTCTTGTTTTGCAGTATTAGGTATGGGCTTAATATTCTACAGGGTATTGAAAATGAAACTAATAGTTTGAAGAATTCTCTGAAGGTAAAGTTGATTATTGTATCCAACCACACCCACCCACCTCCCACACGCAAATTTTTTTTTTTTTATCCAAAATTTATTGCATGAAATTGGGATTGTGACGGCAAAGGTTTTCAGGATGTGGTAACTGATAATGATTTTGAGAAGAGACTTCTTGCGGATGTTATTCCTCCAAGTGATATTGGGGTTACTTTTGATGATATTGGTGCCTTGGAAAATGTGAAAGATACTTTAAAGGAATTGGTGATGTTACCTCTTCAAAGGCCAGAATTGTTTTGTAAAGGGCAGCTGACAAAGGTTAAGTGGATTATATTAGTTTAGTGCTTTCTTCCCAAAAATAATCCAGCCTTTTGCAAATTGCAGTTCATCTTGTTAGTTTATTTTTCAAGTTAGTTACTCTTCTTCCAGCCTTGCAAGGGAATACTACTCTTTGGACCTCCGGGTACTGGAAAAACGATGCTTGCAAAGGCTGTTGCAACTGAGGCTGGTGCTAACTTTATCAACATATCGATGTCTAGTATTACTTCAAAGGTACTTCCTTTCATCCGACGGATGAATTTGCGGCTTTCTTTGTGAGCTTCTGTCTACGAAATAATTGATGCCTTTTCACTGCTTACAGTGGTTTGGTGAAGGAGAGAAGTTTGTCAAAGCAGTATTCACTCTGGCTGGTAAAATTGCTCCTAGTGTCGTCTTTGTTGACGAGGTTGGTTGAATAATCTGTCTGTTCATTTCCATTACTTGGTGAATGGGTCATTATCATTCTTATTGTTATACTTAATCTCTTTTAGCTGTGTTCCTGCTGCTGATAGTAATTTTACAACTTTTGTTTTAAATCTGTTTTTTCTTTGTGTTGCTTTTAGTGATGGTAAAAGTTCCATCTTTCCAGAGTTTACTATACTTCAGGATCATTTTCTCTTATATATCTTACACGTTCCTTGTTCTAGGTTGACAGCATGTTAGGAAGACGTGAAAATCCTGGAGAACATGAAGCAATGCGTAAAATGAAGAATGAGTTCATGGTGAACTGGGATGGTCTGCGTACGAAGGATAAGGAACGTGTACTGGTACTTGCTGCCACCAATAGGCCCTTTGACCTTGATGAAGCTGTCATAAGGAGGCTTCCGCGTAGGTAGAAATCGTACTGCTTTTATAGAGTTCGTTAATTCTCTATAGCTGGTAAAAAAACACTACCCTTGATGATTTTATGTACACATTTTTGGTGTAGATTAATGGTAAACTTGCCAGATGCCCCAAACAGAGGGAAAATTTTAAAAGTTATATTGGCAAGGGAAGTACTGGCTCCTGACATTAGACTCGAAGCAATTGCTAATATGACTGATGGCTATTCAGGAAGCGACTTAAAGGTTGTTTATTGATTTCCTTAATCCCAAATTATGCCTAATTTAAACAGATACTATTTTTCGGGTCGATGTTTGGTTCCTTTGATTGAATTTTTGGTTTCAGAATCTATGTGTGACAGCGGCCTATTGTCCCATAAGAGAAATCTTGGAGAAGGAAAAGAAGGTTAGTTTATGCAACTACTTGAATGTCAAAAGTTCCCATATTTTGTTTCTGTATACTGCTCTTAGGTCATATTAATTCTAATTATAAAGTCAAATTGAATTACCTTTTCTGGGTGCAATAAAATCAGTGATGTTAAATGGTATTTCTTTTTTATTTTGTATTCTGAAATTAAAATGATTTTTTAAATGATCCTCAAAATTTAGTTTTTTATGTTTATTTATATTCTTTGGTTGCTGATCGAGTAAAACATTCACCGCTTATAACATCTGTAGAGATCATTGCACACTGGTTGTCTAATTCTCTTCACTGCATGGTTTTTAAGCTTAAGGACTATTGATTGTGACCCGCATGGGCCCCTTATAAAAAAGTTTTATTGATTTTAGTGGACTGTGGATCATGGTAAACTTTTTGGGACTCGGTCTGTTGATAAGTAATTAGAGTGATGTCGGAATGACAATGTTAAAACTCATCAAATACAATTGGTTCCGTGGCCTATATTAATAAGGCCCATAAGTAAGGGTCCCAATTGTGAACCATTCTGCTATTCTTTTTAAATTGATCGACTAAATGATATCAGTAGGTTTTTTTTTTTTTTTTGCCTCCAAGTTATAGCAGGTACATCTGGTTGGGATGCCATCTATTAGGTCCTTTGTCTTTAACTCTGCTGTTGACAAGACAGTTTGTTTGCATTTCAGACCAAATGATCCAATTTGTTATTGATGGAATTCAGTTGATATGATTTTTAGCATATGAATATCCCCTCTTGTGCATTTTTGCTTCATGCTGACTGTATAGCTCTCATTATTTTTTAATTGTGCACACGGTGTAAGAAAAGTTGATCCTTAATTTAGATTTTAATCCATAAATGAGTTAGTTGTTTTTACTATGTGTTACACAATATGCTCAACTCCCCCACCCATTTCAAAAATAATAATAATAATAATAAAACACACTCTCTCCGATCTCTGATGCAGTACAACTTTTAACAACTCCACTAGCTAACCTTCTGGGGCTTCCTTTTGCTTCTTTGTATCCGCTGTTGTTTCTAGTTGTTTTCATGTTGAGGCCTTAACGACTACATAAAAGTTATTATTGTTTTTCAGTAATTTTCAGTTACAAAGATATTTAGAATATGAACTATTTGGTAGGTACTTCTGAAGACATTACCTTCAGCTCATAATTGTGTTGCATCTTCAGCAGGATCTTACTTGATAATTGAGAATATAAGATGCAACAAACTCTTATCTGTTGCTTTCTTTTGTAAATAAAAAATAAAAAACTGTTGCCCAGGAAAAATAACAATAAAAAATTGTTTACTGCAGTATGCTGTTTTTCGAGGGACCGATAAGCTAGGATCTTATTGTCTGCACTATTTTCACATTCATTGCCTTGTTTTTTTAGTTCTTGAGTTATTATTATATACATTGAACTCTGCGCAATATTTGTGTGCACTGAAGCTATGGAGTGCAAAACTTTTTCCCTTTATTTTTTTCCCCCTGCCCTCATTATACTAATCGATCAGATATTATATTCACAATTTTAGGAGAAGGCTTTGGCATTGGCAGAGAACAGACCCTTGCCTGCATTGCACAGCAGTTCAGATATTCGTTCTTTGAGCATGGAGGATTTTAAATATGCACATGAACAGGTATGATTGCTGGAGTTGGAAAAATCAAGAAGTCTTATTATTTTTAATTTTGCTTTGATCTCCTTGATGAATCAATGATTTTGGTTGGCTTCTCTAGAGAATATAAATGTTTTAAAGGCACTGTTTGGTGATTTTCTGTGGTACCTTGGTTGATTAAAGGCATGTTCCTTCTTTGGCTCCTTTTTGTTTGATGCATAGCTTAGGTGCTCAGAACACAGAGCACAAGCGGCAAAGAGAGTGTGAGAGCAGAACTCTGAAAATACAAAAGAATGAGAGGACTATTAATTAGGTCTGCTGGTGGCTTCAAGCTTGTGCTCGAATAGAGTTTAGATTGGCATGATTCAAGCATGGCTCAGCTACTTCTTGGCCAAACTCAAGCTGGTTCACAACCTTAAAATTCTGCTTCTTAAGAAGTTTGTTTGGCACATTAAATCATTATGTTGTTAGAATCTTACTAGTCCTAACATAACCACAAAAATTAGTTTCTGCAGATTAGAGGATTCAATCAAATCAACCAAGCTTTGTTGGCAAGTATTTGTGGCATAGTAAATAATGGTTTTGTTACAAGGAATGGTTATTTGGTGGATCAAAATTTAGATCTTAGCTTTTTGGTATGTCCGATAGATCAAAGTCAAGGTTTGATCGATCCACACATTTTTATGCATTTGACTGCAAATAGTCTGACTCTAGCGTTTTTTGAGAGGTCAAATGGACTCGAAATTAGGTATATAATATATCTTGGGAAAGTATATTTAGTCTAGTTTTGGAAATATAATGCTAATCACGAGATTCCATGTAGATAATGTTATTGTGAGGCACAAAACTGAAACAACACAAAATGCTTACCAAAATCAGCTTTTTATATGGCCTTCAACTCAAACTGAAACAACACAAAATGCTTACCAAAATCAGCTTTTTATATGGCCTTCAACTCAGACTCAATATCTAAGCTTCCTAACCAAAATTAAGGGTTTCAAATTCATTTTCAATTAAGTAATATCCAGTTTTAAACTTCCTGATTGAGCTTAAGTTAATTGTAAATTAATTCAAGTTTCATAATTGATTCCAAACCAAAATTTTCTAGATCAATTACGAAATTCCTAGGCCAACTGAATTATTAGTTAATCACTCCAAATTTTATGGTCTTCTAGGTCACCTTTTCTAAATTGTGTGATTGATGGAGCTTGAAGCAAGATATCGGTCAGCTCAGTCTTCAATCTAAGTCGCAGCTTCAATTTATTCCACTGAACTGTTGAACACTATGGACTGACCACGACTTTTGTTTTACCAAATATGCCAACACATGATACTTTTTCCTATCACAGTAATGAATGATGGTTCATGTTACTTATCATTCAACCTTGAAAAAACCTGTCAGGCTTGGATGGAACACCCGTGTCTCATGTGGTGTATCTGAAAACAGAGGAACAGGCATATTGTTGAGGAGGTTGAGATATCAGTACTCAGGTTGAAAATTCATGCTTTTTGGGTGAGAGATACTATTTCACTAGAACATATTCATAACTAATGATTTTTCAGAAAGTGATGCATCAAACAGGACCACCATCACCATCAAGCAAAATTTTCTTGTCCATTTGCCAATCTGTAATCCTTGGCAAGGGTTCAACCACTTGGGAATTTTCTAATACAAAAGTAAAATAAACAATTCTGAACTTGCTGATGCAAAATAGTGACTCCAAGTTTATATATACTCAGAAATCTTGCATCATTTTTCACCATAACTGACTTACTATTGTTTGACAATGTTAGCATAAGGACTTCGCTTCAGTTTTAGAGTTGTTCATGAGCCTAATGGATGACATACTTGTTATGAGGTTTTGGTTGTTAAGCAATCTTGCTTGAAAAATAAGCTTGAGCATGACTTACTCGGTGAATGAGCTTCTTTTCGGTCCAAGTCCAAGTGTTTAAATACAAATTGATTCATTTGTCATCTTATCTTTATTCATGTATTTGTATTGATAATTGCTTGTAGCTTAGTGGTTAGATGAGATTTGTTTCTACCTTGTGATTGAACTCTAGAATCAAGTACGTGGTTCTCCACCTTTACATCGAACAAGCAAGCATTTGTAGGTATCCGATATGTTTTATCCCACATGGCATTTGCCACATCATCAATAGTGGCCCACTTAACAAAAAGTCAAGTAGTTAACAAGCAAGTTATGTGGCACTTGCCACGTCATTAATAAACCTTGAATAGGAGACTCAGGACTTGAAGACCCGAGTTGGGAGCAGCACTTGGGAACATTTGGGATTCAAGGAAGTACTTAGTTTGGCGGTTGAAGTCCATGACCCGTTGAGAAAGAAAATTTGACTCCCATACATCCTATCCCCACTATACCTAACCATATTAACATTATTTATCTCATTAAATAATTACCCTAATTACACATAACAGTTACACAACTTCTCCTTATTTTTCATTACTTTATAATTATCTTGTTGTCACTATAACAAAAACTCATATATTGCCTCAGAATGACATCACCTACCCTCACAGTTGCCTATAAAGATCCTTCCACCAAGACCGAAAGGGAGGAGAAATGACAGGGGAACCAGCACTCATATTCTAAACTCCTATCTCTTACCCATGCTCTCTCTCATCTCACCCTCAACCTTCACCAATGGAGTCAATGGGGAACTTGCACACTGCCTTCCTCTCTCAAGTTTTTCTGGACTCTCACCTCCCTCAGTCCACCTGAGATCTCTACTATGTTGCGAGTAGTGCTTCGGTTATATATAAAGAACCTACATTCACAACATCTAAATTCGATGTATCCAAGAAAGATCATCTTGTGAGACATAATCAGCTGGACTGATTAGGACACTTGATTCAAAACTAATTTGAAAAGGTGGTGGCATGTTTTGTAAGACTCCTGTATGAAGTGATATATTATACGAAGGAAAAAATTTAAAATAGAAATAATGGAAAAGCTTATGTGGATTTTGTGTTGATGTGCCTGCATTGGTACTGAAATCTACATATAAAAGGGTTGTGAGACTTTAAATTATATTCTCCCTTGTTTAAAAGTTCTCTCCTTGTGGTTGCGAACTCAAAATCAAGATTAGAATGGGTGGTGGCCTTGAACTGAACTTATAAGACAATGTAATGATTTAATTCTCGTGTGCCATGTCAATGCCCCATTAAATATTTGTAGACATGAAAATCACCTAGTTTGTGCATTTTTCACAACCAAAGTATATGGTACACTTATTCAACACCGCCACTCTCCCACAAGGTTTGAAGAATCCCGGGTTGCATCGGAATTTGCTTGCCTAGTACCGAGTTTGGCCAATATCTCGGTGTGAGTACAAATTGTACACGACTCGGCCAGGTAGCAAATTGGCTGGTTCGTTGGAAGATTCAGCCAATTCTGCACTGACTAGACGAAAGGAGGGAAGAGGAGTAGGGGGAGAAAAAAGGAGGGAAGAAAGGAAGGAAATAAATCATGCACACCTCTCTCAATATGATGATTGCAGTGGATTTAATGTCGTGGTGGCTCAAAAGTATGGCTTCCTTGCAAAACACGAGTAAGACTGTCCAGGTTGCAGGGTTTTTTAACAACTGTAGCTGGGTTATCTGGAAGGATCATTATTGTTTTTACAAAACACGATGGTCCTCTTATTTGTAATTGTTTACAACCATCTACTCCAAAAGCTTAAGCTATTGGAGTGGGTGTAACTTAAATATATAAAGCCTTCAACACGCCCCCTCACGTATGACCTTCTTTTGATCCAACACAAATTTTAATTATCAGGGTGACGGTGAGGTTTGAATGCGAGACCTTTGGCTCTGATACCATATTAACAACCATCTACTCCAAAACCTTAAGCTATTGGAGAGGGTGTAACTTAAATATATAAAGCCTTCAATAGGAATCTTTGTGATTTGCATTTTAAGCCCTTCAACTTCCTAATTTTAGAGAAAATTAAAATATCACCCTCATTGTTTCATAATTATAAAAAAGCATTTAATTACTGAATTTTCTGATTGAGTTAAAATATTTTCTCATTTACCCTTCCTCTTAATATTTATTTTACAAATACCCACACTCAAATAAAATTTAGTAATTTATGTATTTTATGTTGTAAATTTCCATTTATTTGCAGTTCTATATTGTTTTGTGTCCTCTTGAGCTTGTACTGGAAATGGGCTTTCTCAAATGAGCTCCATTACCTATGTTTTTAGACTTTCTCTTTGAGGGTATGCCCTCTATGCACTTGTACTTCATGTTTTTATCTTTCTAATACAACATCAATTATGAAAAAAAAAAAAAAAAATCCATTTATTTCATATTTAAATCTATTTTTACTCTAATTTAGTAAAAAATATAAATTAGTAAGCCTGGATTGTTGCTTGGGCAGTAGGCCGGTTTCATTGCCTAGGGTCAACTGGGTGATTTGAGAACTCGGTTTGTAAACTCACTTATGCACATGGACACACAAAGATTTGCATGTATTTATCGTTTTTCGTTTTGTAAAATACTTGTATGCATCTACGAAACAGCCTTATTCTGAAATTCCTAACTATTTCATCGTCTTTGTACTGTATTTCCGTAAATAAAAGGAAAATAATTAAATAAATAAAAGGACATTATCCAATTCTGGTCCCGCTACAGGAGGGTCTTGGGAAGGGAGGACTCGAGAGAGATCTAACCTTTGGTGTTTCACAAAGTGGCTGCTCTGAAACTCGAACTCGCACCAATGGCACTGCCATTCCTTGTGGAATATAAATGTGTTAATGACCAAGTTCAAGGAAACATGCTATTATTTGAGTTATTTTGTAGAACAATTGTGGTGGGATTCAATGCCTTTATTCTCTCCAATTGCTCTTTATTCACTCAGAATAATACTTTTATTTCTCTTTGTTCCAAATCATTTACTCTCAAGCTTGGAGATGTGAGATTTTCTTTTCATGAATCTATTCACTTCCAATTGTATGCAGCACGGAACATATAATTTGTCATTTGCAATTTATTTGCACGGCAGATATTGTATTCTTAATAGAGGAATATGGTTTTAATAATATATTTCATTCAAATGCAGGTGTGTGCAAGTGTATCATCAGAGTCTTCAAATATGAATGAGCTCCTCCAATGGAATGAACTATATGGAGAAGGTGGATCGAGGAGGAAGAGTTCCCTCAGCTACTTTATGTAGAGGAGGTATTTTAAGTGTATAGCATTCCTTGTTTAGTTAATTGTTCTTAACCATCAATCCCGAGCTAATTTCAGGGACCCGTATTGGTGGAAATCCTGTTGCAGTTCCCTCTTTATATTGTATTCATTTTGTGGATGTTTTTTCCGGCATCCACTTCAAATATTAGGATATCTCTGCAGCGTGTTCTGATATCCTTTTTTTTCTTTTTATGTGCCAATCTCTGTCTGTACATACTCATTGATTAAATTTCATGAGCATTCTCATGTTTGATTTCTCCCAAGTTTAGTAGAAACTATTGGTACTTCATTGGATCAACTCAGTTTAATACAAAGATGGCGTATGATATTCTTATATATCCTTTGAAAATATTCATATGGTCATGTTATATAAAAGATCCATTCTTACAGATTATGTTCAACAACGTCGTTCTACCTATTTTGCATGAAACTCTGATTCTCAAACGTGGAAGAGCATGAGCCAGAACAGATCTGAATGATTTGGATGTGTGCGCATTGGTGTGAATGGAAATATGCAAGACTCATTGATATTCGGGTATGGGTTATGCCTACATGAGTCACAAGGTTAGTTCTTTCTGACAGAGGAAATGAAAAACTAAAAGAACCAAAATCACTAATTCTTGGAATTATTTAATTTTCATTTGGCATTAAGTTTGTTTATTGCTTTATTTGCTGTTTTCAGAGGCATACTGGTGTTACAGTACGAGTGCCCTTTTCCGATAAACTCCCAACATTGTTGGGATTCATGAGAATAATGTGTTAATATATTTCTTATTGCGAAGGATCGGCATTTTTCCCTTATTAAGTGCACAAGTGGTGGTAAATTTTGGAGAGGGTGGGATGTTAGACATTGTAAGATTTGCTGAATACCAGAAAACTAGAGTGAACATTTTAGAACCGCCAGCTTATTATTATTATTTTTTTTCCTAGTTGGGACTCACACACACTGCCTCTACTGAGGTTCGAACTCCTGACCTCCTTTTGGGAGGTAGAAGTCTTGTACCGCTAAGCCACAGACCTGTTGGTCTCGCCAGCTTATTTCAATTGAATGCAGGTTCAGAAAGTGCTTCTAGGAAGCTGTAAACCGGCTTTTGAGAAAGCACAGGGGGTGCTTATGAGCTTGTAGCTTATCTGGAACGCGTATTTGTGCTTGTTTTGCATTACTGGGTATAAATGTATCTAGTTTGGCTCACTTGTAGTTGTGTTTAGTGGCACAAACTGTGTGGTAGATATAGTTACGTTTTCTTCGCACCCACTTTTGTCCCTCCGAATGAAATACTTTCTGTAGTGATTAAATATTGATAGGTAGTGATAGGATTTACTAAAGTAAATCACTTTTACTTACGTGGCAAATATAATTGGTTGTTGGCATGGATGCCGCAATATCACTCGTGTAGGAAAGTATATCTCGGGACTTAAACTCTCCCTTCTACTTTGGAAGGCATGGAACCATCAGCAGGCTACAAGAAGCACTCACGCAGCCATTTTATTCTACCGACCGCGTAGTTGTGTTTAGTTTCTTTGGTCTTGGAATGACTTTCCTAATCTCTTAATTTCATGTGATTATCAAGGATATATACGTACTCAATGAAGTAAAACAGTTATTCTTTTCATTCTTTCTATTGTTCCATTTTTACCCCATAATTTTTAAGGTCAGAATGTTTTATTAAAACAAATAAATAAATCATGGTGATTTATCCAATAATAACAATTTAGATGGTATTTGTGGAGAGAATAATGTAATGAGAAATTATTTTTTTTTTTAAACGAAGAATCAATTCATCCGCTAATCAGTTTTGAACTCTTGGGCGGTTTGAAATTCTGAATGAAAACAAACATCCGCAAAACACAGGCATTAGTTAACCTTATACAAACATCCGGCAAAACGGACATTACAAATAGCTGCTCGACGCCGTCTAAAATCTAACATTAACAACTATTTAATTTAAACCTCCTCTCACTTATGGCACCCATCTTAATTTAACTTTGTGTGAATTGATGAAAATTTATGGTAACCAGATTTTTCCACGAGTATTGTCGATCTATGCAATGATAGAAATGAGTATGCGTTTTTTTTTTTTTTTTCCATAAAATCCCCTTAAATTGTATATTCAAAATATATAAACGTACTTCTTTATATTCTCCAGTTTTGTGGTTCACTGTTCAAGAGGGTTTTGTTAACTAGACCAGAAATGATATTTATTTAGTTCATTAATTTATAGGGTGGTTGGATAAAATTATCTTAAATAATTTAAAAAATGAAAAACTGCATATAATGTGCTAAATTTTTAGCATACAACCACCCTAAAGTATAAAAAGAAAAACTACTGTTAAGTCTCACCTTTTTTATTTTTAATTTTTCACCAAGTCATTAATTTTTTTAGGACCAACAAGTCTTGCTTTTGAGTTTTGGTAGCCTCTCAAAATTTCAGTTTTACTCGTTGTAATTTGTGATTATTACATATTTTTTTTTTTTTGTTTTTGGTTCATCATTTGTATTTGCTTAATTTAATTTTTTTTGTATTTTTCTCGTTTTTAAATTATAATTAATTTCAATTGAATTAAAAAATGTTGTGTAAAATTCACATTATGACCAAAAAAAAAAAAAATGAAAACTTGTTAAAAATGTCATAGAAATATTATTGTTTTTTTAAAAAAAAAATTATAATATATGTTATATTTCTAAAAATATACTAATAATTTAGCAATTAAAATTTATAAAGGGGCAAAAAATAAATAAATTGATTGTTAATAAGAGAATCTTGCACATATCTTGTTTTGCCTCTTTGAGGACCCGAACTCTCACCATCTACTTTGGGAGGTAAATGAGATATCACTATGTTAAAAGCCCTTGGTATAATTGATAAGATACTGCATATCATGCTTAAATAGCTAAATTGGTTAGGGTATAAATGTGATATTGAGTAGTTTAGGACTTTGAAAAACATATTTTACTAATGCTCTGTTCAGTATGAAAGAAAAAAAGTGGATGAAAGGGAGAGAATAATGGATGGATGAGGCATCCCTAAAAAAGAGATTATGTATTTCCTTCTTTTTTTTTTTCGGTTGGATAGAACAAAAGAGAATAAGCTAATAATTTACTAAGTTCGTTAAGAAAGAAGGACCATTATATCTAATTTATAGAGATTAATACTATAATTTAAAACTTGTAAAATTTAAGATAGTATTTAATTTAAAACTTCTATAATAGTTCACTTGTATTTCCTCCTTTATTCCTTCCTTTCTACCGAACACAACTGTAGGTGCAAAAATTTGTTTAACTAAAAAACCAAAAGAATAAATACAACTCACTCAAATAAAAGAACAATTTAGAGAAAAGCTTGTAATGCTCGATCATCTTTATTGGAGGTCTATGCCTCTATTTATATACAAAAAGAAAGTGGAATTATGGTAGGATTCGCTATGATTGTCCTCCACGTTATTTCCATATAAAATTCATTCCATATACAATTATTTACATACAAGATTCTTTCCTTCTACAATTCTTTCCATGTAGAACTTTTCCCATGTAGAGCTTCTTTCCATATAGGATTCTTTACTATGCAGGAATTGATTAATCTCGAACCATTTTTGGATTATAATACGAGTGGGCCGGACTGGTCTCATTACAACCCGAGAGGCTATCACTACTACTTTTGGGTTGTTGATAGTTTTATTGGGCTTGATCAATATTGGGCTTTTGAGGGCTAGTGGAGAAATAATGGAATAATACTTTATTTTAATGACATGGTCTATTTTCATTGGTGGAGGATTTTTCCCTCCACACTTTGCCCCCAATTCTCTCCTAATTCGAGCAACGGTCCCTAATTAAACGGGAATTGAATTTGCACGGTTGCCAAAAGTGTAAAAGGCGGTTTTGGAAGTGACTATTGGCATTTTGACCAAAAAGTTCTTCAAAGTTCGTTCCTACTTCCATTGCGTTTACTGTTTCGTCATACTATCAGGTTAGTCTTCATCTATCTTATTGATTCTCTATTATGAACACTTCATCCACTCACGATCATATAGAGGTTATGGATTCTGAAACTACCCATTTGGCATCTCCTGTTCTTCTTAGAATTCCACCTCTTAGGATTTCTGACCTGTAATATCCTTAATTTCAAAAGGATAGTCGCGGTATTATTTTAATTGTTTTAATTGCATTTTAATTGTTTATTTAATTTCTTGGATAATTGTTTACTTGTTTAATTGATTTAATTGTATTTTATGTGTTAATTGAATTATTTGTTTAAATTAAATTGTGTGCTAAAATTATGTGTATTCGATTTATTTGTTTAATTTAAATTGTATGTAATGATATGTATTTGTTTAAGAATTTAATTGTTTTATTTTTATTTTTATATATTTTATTTTTCATTTTTAAGGCTATTGGATATGGATAGTAGTAATGGACCAACCAATTGGATCCCATGGACTATTTGGACAGGAGGTTAAATGGGTACGGAGAATTACCCATAGATAGTTGTGTATATATATATAAGGGAAGTAAATTATTAATTAATATTATTTATAATATTTCTATTAGTAAGATAATGAAATAATCTGATATATATATATATATATATATATATATATATATATATATATATATAATAAAGGATATATATTTAGTTACGTTTTAAATATTTTATATTTAGTTAATTTTTATTTTTTTATTTCTTAATTAAACTTGGATGGGAAAAATGATTAGGATTATTTTATTTGCCTATAAATATATAACTATAGGTTAATAAAAAGGGGACTAGAAAATATTCACGTAATATATTTTAGAAAAAAAAACAGAGAGTTTGGAGAGAGAAAGAAGGAAGAAAAAATAAGAGAAAAAGGAGGTTAGGGTTTTTATCAAAATCCTTAAGGCAAGTTTTAATTCTTTTCTTCTCATTTGATTCATACCCTATGCATGCTAGATTAATTATAGGTTCTTTGAATAAATTAAATTGGATCAAATTACATAGTCTAATTTAAAATTTTCAGTTCATGTTTTAATAATGGGTTTTAGTTATTTTCTTTTGCCGAACTGGGCACTGTTGGTGGCCTGGATTTTTATTATTATTTTTTTATTTTACATGAATTATGTTAGTATGAATCAGTTTGTGCATAAGTAGATGAAATCAAAATTTATTCGTAAAAGTGTGCGTGCCGAACGAGGTGAATGACTTTTAGCATAAACCAGTTTGTATATATATATGTAATCCGAATTGGTGTTTTCTGCACGTACGCCGAACGAGGTGAATCACTTTTAGCATAAACCATTTTGTGTATATTTATGAAATCAGAATGTGTGTTTTTCTTCATGCACGTCAACCGAGGAAGTAAAGAAAAGTCAATGGCTTTAAGAAAAGACCTGGGTGTTTATAATTAGTATTTGTTTTCTAAGATATGCACGCTGTACGAGAAAGAAGGAAACTAATTGATTTAAATGGGATTGGATTGAGTATTTAAGTAATTTTTTAAAATTATTCTATATATATATATATTTTTATTTTGTTTTAATCAGATGGTTTTTGCATTAAATATTTTTAAGGTTAATTTGATTAAATGCTAGGATATTAACAATATTGCGGTTTTTGGTTGATGGATCAGTATTAAATATTTATTTAATAAGAATAGATTCATTAAGAATTAGATTGCATGATTTAATGTAAATAAATTCAATAAATATTTATTTAATGCATATATGATTGATATCATGGTTGTACCATTATGGGATGTGGGCACTTTATGTGATACCACTCGGATTCAAGATACGGGTTGATCAGACCCAGGCCCAAACCCGAGGGAATATCAAACAATTAAAGTATTTTAAAGCGAACACAAAATATAAGAAAAAATGAAATAATAGATAGAATAAAGCTGAAAGAAATATCAAATATAAAATCCTCCAAATAATACTGAGTAATAAAACTCCAATTCTCCAAAACCTCCAAGAGTACAACTTGGGAATCCGTCTCGTGGACCCCTAAATAAAATCCCAACTGAACTGAATAACAGAAAACAAAACTAAACTAGAACATCAAGAGAAGTCCTACGTAAGCAGATGAAAGAGAGACTGTCCTCGACAAGCACGATCAAGCTTTAAGGCTGGAACCTTCCTGTAACTGAAAAGAATAAAAGAGTGGGTCAGGCCCACGAACAAGTTCTAATCCAACTGCAATCCATACAGTGACCCAATACGCAGATACACCCTAGATACCTCACAATAGCTATCTAGTCCATAAGTAAGTATATATCCACACTAAGGGACATTCACTGGACTACAGTAGGGGTTTCAACCTGAATAGAAGGCAACATGCGAAAACGCACCCAAATGTGGGCATGAATACCTAGACCTAATATGGTACACCTCAACCTACCATAGCTAGCTACGCATCCACTGCATATACGCACCCTAACCAACAAGCCTGAGACTCAAGCTCATCTCGTGGTACCATAACCATATATCTAAAGTCCATCCCAAAACCAGAGTATGTCATTCAATTATTCATTAAGATGACATACAAAACACAGTCCGGTTAGTCACTCAACTTTTTCAGTTGATATGACTTAACTACAACCAACTAATCCAGGAAGTCATTCAACTTAGCCAATTGATCT